GCAGTGTTTCTCATACTTTCTGTTCTTAATCTCTTTACTCTTTTAAAAATTATTGCAAACCCCAAAGAGCTTTTGTTTGTGATGTTATCTGTTGATATTTATCCATCAGAAATTAAAATCGAGATGTTTGAAGAAAATCTTAGAATTAATTTAAAAATAATAAATCCACTATATGTTATAAGTAGTGCCCATGTTTATGAAAAATAACTGTGTTTTCAAAACCAAAAAAATAGGAAAGTGGCATTGTTTTACACTTTGGCAAATACTTTAATGTCTGGTCCAGGAGATAAATGTATCCTTGTCACCTTCTGAATTCAGTCTTAAATCACGTCATGTAGTCTCTAGAAAAATGCTACACTTGAGAAAAAATGTGAGTTAAAAAGCAGAGATAACATAGTAGTATCACTTTGAGAAAGTGTTGGCCTTGGACCAACAAAAGAATATTAAGTTCTCTCAGGAGTCCCTGGACCATACTTTGGGACCCTCTGACTTACAGAAGAGAACAAAAAATGAAAAATTATTAGTGGGAAGCGTTCAAGCAAATGCTGAATGATGTTCTCTCTATAGATACTGAAGAGGTGAATCTTGTCCTGGATTAGATATCAAACTAAATATTGCCTTTAGAATTCTGCCAGTTTAGGATTATCATTCTGTGATTGAATCGAAATATGTTTCTGTACATACAAAGTACTAAGTTATCATTTTAAAATGGCAAACTTTCCTCTAAGAACTTTTGAGCTCAGAGTTCCAGACATAAAATGCAAAGGAGATAATTTAGTGTGAAAGGATATGAAGAACAGGTACTACTAGTACATCGCCTAAAGAAACTCAGTGCAGCTTTTATTCTGAATACAGCTTTTGCTTCTGCGCTACTCGGATGAGGTTAGTTATACAACATTGGTAGTGTGTTTTAAAATGATTTTTTTAAACATTTGAGTGTATCTTCCTAGTACAACTATTGTGTTTTAGTAAGTTTCTCTTCTTTTTTAAAAAGAATTATTTAATTTCATTTATTATTATTATTTTAATTTGACCAGAGAGAAACAAAGAGAAGGAAAGTGAGAAAGCAAGTCACAAGGTCCAAGACTCAAACTGCAGCTGATCATTCTGTGATTGAATCGAAATATGTTTCTGTACATACAAAGTACTAAGTTATCATTTTAAAATGGCAAACTTTCCTCTAAGAACTTTTGAGCTCAGAGTTCCAGACATAAAATGCAAAGGAGATAATTTAGTGTGAAAGGATATGAAGAACAGGTACTACTAGTACATCGCCTAAAGAAACTCAGTGCAGCTTTTATTCTGAATACAGCTTTTGCTTCTGCGCTACTCGGATGAGGTTAGTTATACAACATTGGTAGTGTGTTTTAAAATGATTTTTTTAAACATTTGAGTGTATCTTCCTAGTACAACTATTGTGTTTTAGTAAGTTTCTCTTCTTTTTTAAAAAGAATTATTTAATTTCATTTATTATTATTATTTTAATTTGACCAGAGAGAAACAAAGAGAAGGAAAGTGAGAAAGCAAGTCACAAGGTCCAAGACTCAAACTGCAGCTGGCCATGTGGCAGTCCAGCGCCTTAACCATCATGCTATTGATAGTACTCTATCAATTGATAGTACTCTGTCAGTCCTTTTCTTATATCTACTTCTGGTCAGTGTTTTAAAAGCAAAATACACACAAAAAATTAAGTATGTAAAACAAAATATGTAAATGTGAAGTATTTTCTCAATGTAGTAGAGGAAATAAGTAGGTAGCTGGGTGGTTAGGTAGGGAGATGGATCAATACTCCCTAATTGTCTCTGTTAACATCAGACATGTAATTGATCTAAAAGTACCAGTTGGGTTGTGGCCAGAAGACTTTGGCCACAGCCTACTTTTGCACCATTCAGGATTGGTGTTTCACGAATCTATTTCTGCTCTTTTTTTTGCTCTTAATGTTATTATTAAGATTTAGGTTTTGTGCAATTTATTAATAGCCTTTCATCAATTTGAGATTATGTCTGTTTGTTCACAAATATTATTTATTTCTGTGTAATAGCAATCTGGTGCTCAAATAAGCCTCACCTGAACAATTAGAAATGTACGAAGAAGTTGATAAAATTGTGTCATTGGAAAATGTATAAGGTTATAAAATGAGTGGTAGTAAGAACTCATAGGAAGTTAGAACTTGGCGTGTGAGAGATTTGCTTTCTAAAAGCCATGTAGAGTACAAGTAGACTATAGTAAATCACGAGAGAAAAGCATCAAGTTTGGGTCTTTGCATTTGCTTTCTTGTCTTACATTTATGGTTTTAGTTGATAGAAAATGTTTTTGCAGAGGAAACAAGGTGGGACTAGATGGTGGCGCAGCAGTACAACATGAGGCTATGTGAGGCTGACCCATGAGGGAAGGTTCAGGCTTGTGTCTGGAGCCCTCCCTGGGTACAGTGGGAACATGCATGCCCACGTCCATGATCCTGGACTGGCTGGTGGTGGATCACATCAGGGCACTATTGGGGGTGCTGTATCTCTCACTCATGGAAGAAATAAATAAAATTTAAAAAAAAAAAAAGGAAGGAAGGAAGGAAGGAAGGAAAAACAAGGCAGTAAGAGGGAAAGCGAAAGAGGAAGTGAAGC